GTTTTTTTTTTTTTTTTTTTTTTTTGCCACATATCTTTCGTATTTCCCATTACCAGGCCATTTAGCCATTCCTTTTGTTCAATGATGTTCATGCCAAATGAAAGAGAAAGGAATGAATTTTAAATGTTATTTTGAAGTGAAAATATTTTTTCATAAAAAAACGGTGATTTTTCTCAGAAAATTGGGCATAATTTCTTAATGCTAACCGCTGAGTGACATTTTCCACAGCCAAATCGAAGATTAATTACCAGTGAATAATTCCATGTGCAAACAATAGCCGTCTGGATCCTATAACGTCACCCTAAAAGGTCCAGAAGTTTACTGATTGATCGAAAACCTGTTGCACATAATTGTATTTTTCACAGTCAGTTTCCATTATTTCATCTTGATATCATTTTCGGGCAGCCAAGTCCTCAAAAAAAGGAAAAACAGTTTGGCATAGGTTTTCTTTAACTTTACATTCTATGAGGTGTTAAAAATATTACTGACGAATGAGATTTTTTTGCTGAGTTTATAAAAATTTTACGCGATTATGTTGGATTTTCCAATATGAAAAAACAAAAATTTTTTTAAACAGCCGTGAGACAAAAGTTTAGATCACATGACCTTTTCATAATAATGTCATGTTTGCCTTTCATAGATGAAAAAAAAGAACAAATATCAAAAAAAAAAAAAAAAAAATATTTTAAAAATAGAATAGTGTAACTGTTTTATTTCGGGACCCAATTTTTCAACATAAATATTTTATACCCAAGTTTAAAATGAAAAAACATTCTTGAAGATTTCATTTTAGCTTTAATTGTAAGTTTAATAATTAAATTTATTTACATTAAGTAAACAATTCTGGTGTATTTCTGATAGAAACTATATATATATATATATATATATTGGAATGTCAACTTTAATTTTGATTTCTTAAAAACGGCCATTTTCTTAATTTTAAGAAATTTGTAAACAAACAATTTATTGATTTTAAAAATATTTAAAATTTCTGACATGTTATTTTAGTAAAATTAGATTTAAAGTTAAATTAATCTGATTTGAAAGAAATATTACTTATAGCATAAAAAAGTAATATACAACCAATTATTAACAATTGGTGCTGTTCATTTGATCAAACATGTTTAAAAAAAAGTTTTTTTACCAAAATCTTAAAAAAAAAAAAAAGGATTCAAAAATAATTTCATTTCATTTCATTTGTAAATAGGTCCTGAAAATTTCATTAAAATCGGACAATTACTTTTTACAAGAATTTCAAAATCGATGTGTTTTCAACGGAAAAAAAAAACTTATTTTCCATGCCCCATTTTCCATGACGTAAACAAAAGACTTAACCAAAATTTCAAACTTGTTAGAAAGGATTAAAAAATTTCAAAAAGTAATTGTGAAATACTTGGTCTTTCATCTTAATAATAAAATAAACATTTTGAGGATAAAACTTTTTCGTTAAGTTTGTGGCCTTTTTCATTATGCTATGCCTTTTTCCCGCGCAAAAGTGGAGGTACCTAGTTTTATTAATCTTTTCAATTTCTCGTAAAAAAATTTAAAAAAATTTCATTTGTGAATAAGTCCTGATAATTTCATTAAGATCAATTATTTGATTTTTACAGGAATTTCCAAATCAAATGTTTTCAACAGAAAAAAGTCAATGTATGCCACTTTCATGACAAACAAAAATTTTAATCAAAATTTTGAACATGTTGGAAAAGATTAAAAAAAAAAATAAAAATGATAATCAAAAAAATACTTCCGATTAACTTTTTATGAAGTTTATGGCCTTTTTCATTATGCTGTGACTTTTTCTGTGAAAAAGTGGCAGTACCTCATTAAATTAATCTGAATTGAAATAAACCTTATAGCATGAAAAAGTAATATACAAGCATTTTTTTACGGATTCTGGCGATGATTTATGTATTGACAAGTTCCGGGGTGATGACAGCTAGTATGGATGACTGTAATTGACATAAAGTAATTACAAATGATGCTTTATGAAAACAAATTTTTAGATGCTATAAGATTTTCTTAAATTTAAAATGTAATGACAGATGAAATACTATAATTTATGAAATGTTATTCAGACAAATCCATTACATTCACATACCCTTGGGAAGGCTATAAATTCTCTTCTCCCCCCAGCTATGGGTAAATAGCAGGTCAGGCTGAGTTCTATATCCTTGGATGGCCATTGGTCTACTGCAGAAACCCCCCCCCCCCCCATAATTTTGGAAACCTTTCTTGGTGCTATTTCAGCTTTAATTTCAAATTTCCAATAAGCAAAAGTCAGCACAATGTTTAAAAAAAATCTTTCAAATATAAAATGTACTTTTCTGTTATACTTAAGTAGATATCACCACGAGATTGCTGGAAAATGAGCATAGCAGAGTAATAACAGCCTTAAACTTGATGAAAATAATTTTATCATCTAAATGGTCGTGTTATCAAGAGGAAAGATCAAAGTATTTTTTGATTAGTTTAATAATTTCTAGCACATCCAAAATTTGTTTAAAAAAAAAAAAAAAATTGTTTTTTTTATCAGCAAAATTGACAGAAAATTGATCGTCAGCCATTTTTTGTAACTTTTGTTTATAAAAGTGAAATTTTCAGTTTAAAATTTGTTTAAAAAAACAATTATAATTTTTTTTTTTTTCCTTTCTTTTTTTATAATTAATTTAAGAAAATTAGAAATTATGAAGTTTATTTAATGTATTTTGAAACAAACATTATTTACTTTCTGCGCTGAAAAAAAAAGTACTTTCAGATGATAGAAAGCTGGGCTTAACAGAGGTGTTGACATGTGCATAATTTCATCTTGCAGGAGGAAAAGTTATAGTATGGAAGGTCACAAGTGACAGTAGCTTTATGTGAACAACTTGTTTACCATATTTTTAAGTAGGCATAGCATGATAAAAACGGCCTTAAACTTGACGAAAGCAGAATTTTATTGTCGAAATGTTTGTTACTACCAACGCAAATCACGTGACAGGCTATTGTTTTCATGGTGTTTCCGGTCTTCCGTATATTTGAATTTTAGTTTTTTGGGGGGCACAAAAAAAATGTTATATTAGATTTTTAGCTATTGGCAGCTTTCTGATTTTAACCAGCTTTATTTTATAATCTGTAAATGATATTTAGCTACTTAATCACACCACTCACTAAGGTGTACAAGATTTTCATTAATTTTAGAATATTTAACAATTTTAATGTAAAAAAAAAAAAAAAAAATTTAAGAAATAACAAATAATTGTTGTAAAAATTTATTTTTCATCGAAAACGTTTCTTGCTTTCAGAAAATGTTATCCATATTCCTACAAACGAGTAAAAGCAACTAAAAGCTTTTGAAATTAAATAATACCTTTGTTTTATTGAGTTTTGTATGTTACAATTCAGAGCTGATTTTAAAGTAGAAGGGTGTCAACTAAAAAATAAAAATGATTTGCTTTACTCAAAGCTTTGTACTAATAATCACTAAATCTGTACAAATTAGAATTTCGTGATTTTTCATAAAATTAATTATGGTGGGGGGGTAATAAATATATAAAAAAAAAAACTTGCCAACTTTGAAAAAAAAATAAACATATTTATAATAATTTCCATCGTTTGTGAATAGTTTCTGAAAGTTTCATTAAAATCTGACAATTATTTTTATTTTTACAAGATTTTCAAAATTAATGACTGTCATTAAAAAAAAAAAAAAACACAAATCTGTTATTTAGTAGGGCACTCGCTGATAAAGAGAAACAATGTTTTTCAATCAAGTTAGAATGCTCTAATAAAGACAGAAAAATTTTGAAAAATAATCCAAAATTACTCTTAATAAAAACATTTTGACGATAACATTGTTTTCAAGTTTAGGGCCTTTATTATCCTGTTATGCTCATTTTTCAGCGATCTTGTGGTGATACCTATTTAAGGAATTTAACTGATTTAAAGTTAAATTAATCAGATTAATTAAACTTTAAATCAGATGATAACTTTGATATTTTAAACTAAAAGTAATAATTGCTTTTAATTTAAAATATTGCACAAAGCATTTTTAACACATTTTGATTAGGAATTGACGACGATAAGTTTGTTTTTTTTTTTTTTTTTTTTTTCCCCCCCTATAGATTTGAATATAACATGGGTGCTTTTTCATATAATTTCTAACTGCCCAGAAATCTTAAATTTAAGAAAATATCTTTTAATCTAATGTTTTATTGAATTTTTGGTGCTTTGGCCTTAAATTTACTAAAATTACTGCTCTTGTTTTCTGATAATATTTTGACATCTGTACTAAAATCAGCACAAAAAAAAAAATTTTTTAAAATAATGGGTGTTGCTGAATAGAAGACTGTTCTATTATTAGTAAATATAATTTTTACTTAACAATATCTCCTAACTGGTACTAATACAGAATTTTAAAAGTTCATTTGAGCAGATTTCTCAGTAACTGTGTGTCCTGTTTTACAAAAAAAAAAAATCCATCTCCAAGAAGTATTGGTATAAAAATGAATTTTCTCAATTTGATAGTTTAATCAACTATATATAGTTTTTACTTGATATCATAGTAATACATTTTTAAGATTTAAAACTTTATAAATTATTCTAATTACAAGTTTTAAAAAATGAAAATAATTCTTGTAAAAATTTATTCATCAAAAAGAAATTTTCTTATGACAGTAGTGGGCATAATATATCTTATTCATAAAAGCAATTAATGGCATTAAATTCTAAAGTTCTGTGTATTAGTAATTAATTGCATAAATTAGGTGACATTACTAAAATAATTTCAATTGTGAATAAGTCCTGAAAATTTCATTAAAATCTGATTTTTTTTTTTTTTTTTTTTTTTTTTTTTACAAGAATTTCAAAATCAATGTACTTTTTTGCCATAATAAAGATGCTAAGATTATACTGGAATACTTGTGTAATGAATATAAACTTTCAAATATTGAATGGGCTATTTCTAGTAGTAATATAACTTTTTTTTTTTTTTTTTCTTTTTCTTTTTTCTTTTCCAGTGAACAATTGATGGAATTGTTTCATTCTAGAGCTCGTCGACGTTTTGCCCGTGGCTTGAAAAGAAAACCAATGGCTTTGATTAAGCGGTTGCGAAAAGCCAAGAAAAAGGCTGGCCCTCTTGAGAAACCTGAGGTGGTGATTGATTGATTTTTTTTTTTTTTTCTTCCTTCCTCATTGGCTAATTTTATCTTATCTTAGCAAAAATGAATGATTATTCCAAGTTAAAATCTTTCCACAACTCACAGATGATGAATATCTACTCAGCTCACTCAGATATTCCAGTTGATGACTATGTTGTTCTGATGTGAGTGTTTAAATTGTGGTGTAATATAACTCGGTTGCAAATTAATACAAAATAAATATTTTTTAACTTTTAATACAATGCATTTCACGTTTATAACAATTTGTATTTTGTGTTAAGTTTTTGATTATTGGTTTTTATACTTGAAACTTTCTTTTGTTAGGTTGTCAAAACTCATTTGCGTAATATGATAATTGTCCCTGAAATGATAGGCAGCATTGTTGGCATTTACAATGGTAAAAGCTTCAACCAAGTGGAGATTAAAGTAAGTTACATTTTATGCATATTTTTAATATCATTGGAATGACTTTAACTCTGAGTTTATTTGGATTCATTTGTATTAGTTTCATTAGATTTATTTGCAAACATTTTATAATTATTTCAATTAAATAGTTTTCGTTTTAGTGTTTTTATACATATACACACTAATGGGTAAATTAAAGTTTTAAAAATGTCTTAATGTTTTCACTGAAATTTAGCATTTTATAGTGTAGGTCAAACCTGATACTCAAATGAATATGGGAAACTTTTTATATTGAGCTTGATAACTATGACATGTGGCACTAATATATATCTATTTTTCTCTCATTCCAGCCTGAAATGATTGGTCATTACTTAGGAGAGTTCAGTATAACATACAAACCAGTCAAACATGGTAGACCTGGTATTGGTGCTACTCATTCCTCCAGATTTATTCCACTTAAATAAAGAAATTTAATGGCAAAAATAAAGAAAAATGTATAGAAAAAAAACTGGATTTTTTAAATTTATTTTTCCTCTTACTCTCTTTGTAAAACCCTTAGAATCAGTACTGCTACTGAGCTGAGGGCTTTGCAGATGATTCAATGAACATGATGTATATGAAGTTTCTGAGTTCCAGAAGTAATTATGTTGAATGGTTTGTCACCAGTTTCAATGATGATACATGTGCATTATTCTAATGAAATTTCAGTATTCAAAGGTGAAAGTTTTTTTTTTATATCTCTTGAAACTGGTTATATCACAAGGACATGGGACATGCACAGGTAAAATTCTTTGTATCTCTCAATGAAAGTTGTTGGGTCACAAGATAGATGGCTTTCTGTAAATGTCCTTAGATGAATTCTTTAAAATTTTAAATTGTTTTAAATAAATGTAATTGTAAATCCATATTAATTGGGTTCAATTGATCACCTGAGAAACTGCTTTCAGTTACTTGACCATAAAACAATTGATTTGCCATAAAGCTTTCAGCAACATAGTTAAGCATTCACTGCTTAAAAAGGAACAAGTTAAAATTGTATTATAGTAGAATAGGAAATGTAAGTTTTTGTGCTAATTTTCTTGTTTGCATGTACACTGGCTTTTCCAGGTCATTATATTTTGGTATAGAGCCTACATTTCACCTGCACATATCTGGTGCTTTGTTTCTTGGAAATGTCTAAATACTGAACTGGTGGCTTTTCGGGGAGCTTTGTCAACATTGCATTTTTGAAGATCATGTCCTTGGAACCTAAAGTTTAATCTTTGTTCCTTTAGTGGTTCCTATATACTACTAAATGGTGATGCTTAGTTAATTGAACACTGCATGTTAAGATAGTTTCATTCTTCGGTCCTATTCTCTATCACTTTGATTTCGTTCAATAAACGTTTATGTGCTTGCATTTACCTCCATGAATAGCTCGCCATACTTGATGTTAAAGAATTATTACTTTCTCATAAGACTTGAACATTAGTAAATTATAATTTAAGTCAATTTTGAATGTATATCTACACTTCCTGCCACTTCCATGTATTCTTTTCAGAGTTAATATATACTATTTTGTTGAGTGATTGTAAATTACTAGTGTCATCAATGAAAATTATTTTAATCATATATAAGACAGATACCAAGATCAGTATTAGGATTATTCTCCAGAGCGATAACAGCTAGAAAGTGACAAAGCATTACAAGGATAAGTTAAATATAACCTTGCCTGAATAATGACATCTATCTAACCATGTAGAGTAAGTAAAGAAAGTGGTTCAAAATTCTTAGGATGATACAGTAGGACATTTACCTGAAGATCAAAAGGTATAACTTAAAAATGTGACAATTACCAAGATAAGTTTGAATATTTCATTTTAATGAAATATATAGTTTTGCTATGGTTTTTTTTTTTTTTATGGAATTTATTCACTAAACTGTAGTAGCAGCATCAGTTTAGTGTATTGTTCTGCAAATATATTAATTTTTTTTTTTTTTTTTTTTTTAGTAAAGTTAATTTTTGGGAATTAGCCATGCTGATAACTTTTCAGCACCTAATAGTTCAGTTTTTATAGCATTTAGAGAATACTGAAATGTAAAAAGTTGGCCACTAGTCAATTATAAGGAATCTTAAGCTGTTTTGTTAATTTTCAAAAACAAATAGTTAATGTTTTTTTAAAACTGACTGGTAGAATATGATGTTGAACAAATTGAATAACGGGCACAAATCTGAACAAGAACACTATATTATAGCTTACAGGTTGCTCTAGCACTGATAAATTATACTAATTGGAATTAGAATGGAACATAATCCAGGTTAGGCATAAGTAGCTGAAAAGTGTGACAAGGTTGGAACTAATATAACTAGAAATAAATCTTGTAAGACATTAAGTCTTACAAGATTTTACACCATTAACATAATGAAGCCAAATGGTTTTTTTTTTGTGTGTATGTATGTGTGTGTATGTATATATATATATATATATGTCACATGGCCTACTGTATTATTTTGTCATTGTCACCAACTCTACAAGCTACTTCAATGACTAAGAAAATGAAGACCCCACCTCAAAAAGTTTTTCGCTGCTATTGAGAAAAAAGTAATTGTGATTTAACAAATCAGTTAATCAAATTAAGTTTGTTTTAACAAGTAAACATTTTTCTAATTTTCAAGAAATGTTTAAATAAGTTTATCCCTTGACAACAGGTGCCAGAAAATAGCATTGATGACTGGAAAAGTGAAAATTTGTAAGTTTTAAGTTGCATTGAAACAAACTGTTAATTTACTGAATTATGAACAAGATTAAACCAAGATTACTTTTTTTTTTTTTTTTTTTGCAAGGGGATTTTCAATTTCTTACATAACTGTTAAAGAAGCTTGTAGAGTTGCTGACAATTGGTAAGTGACAACACATTGCAGTAGGCTATATATTACAAAATATTCACTACTGCATGCCCTGGATCCAAGTCACCTTTCACTAACACCTGCCAGACTGTCCAAATTTTCTGTGGCAAAGATCTTATGGCTTTGATGTCAAAATTGAATTGAAAGTGGATGTGATTGAATTACATTGCAACTAGATTTTTTTTTTTTTTTTATAGCTAATGCTGATAAGTATAAGCTCCTTAAGGAATTGGTTTAGGAGTCTGTTTTGATCCATGTTTGCTATATAAGGAAAATTTTTACTGCAAAGGTAGAAAAAAAATACTCAAGCAAAAGGCTGTCATCAGGCAGAAAGGTTTGGTCATTGCTAATACTGAGAAAAAAAAATAGAATGAGCAGTTAACCGAGATGATAAGACTACTACTGTTACTGACTTTCATAGAATTGTGTGAGTTTATCTCAGATTTGGGGATGTCTGTTCCAAAAATTTGAACATTTGTCAAAAGGGCACTGAAAAGCAGTGTTACCAAGGTAGGTCAACCTTTTCTCGTCCCTCTTCGAAGTTTCAACTTTCAACCCTTGAATCTGACATTTTGAATTGTGGGCTTTATGACATAAATTCCTTTTATTGCTAAGAAATTGATTTATATGAACTGTTATTCTAAAAGAAAGTTGCTAAAATCCTTTTAAGAAAAACATTTGTTTTCTAAGAGGAAACATTTGTATCTGAAAGAACTTAACCTGCCTTGATAATTTGAAGTGCACAAGGGAAACTAAAGCCTATAATGTGAAAAAATTTGTTCATTGTAAAAGTTTGTTTCTCTGTAAATTTTTCTGTTTTTCATTTGTGTCATTCAAAATAGTGGGTATAAGAGATTTGATGTTCTCTCTTTGTCTCTCCCAATAAATCCTTTTCCTATTTCTCTTGTCATTGTTGTAGTTTGTCTATAAAGTTGTCTAGCATTATGCAAGATTTTTTCTCAGTTAACAGTTTTCTTGCATAGTTCACTTTTATTATTATTATTTTTTTTTTTTTTGATGCTGCATCACTTTCTTTCTACAATGTGATACATTCTATTTGTCTACTGCTTTGACAATTGATAGTATTTTTACTATCAAGAACAATAGAGAAATGTATTCCACAGGTTATCCTGGTTCATTTCCTAATTGTTTTAAAATGCTATAATTAGAATTTTAATAAAACCGAAACATATAAAAGTGGATTTATACATTTTTTCTGTTCTTGAGGATTAACAACAAAAATAGTGAATACTATTAGATTGTTTATTTACAAAAATATTTTGCAACATTATAAAAATGTGAATCAACTACAAAATTCATTTACCAGAAATAAGTATGAAAGGTAATATTTTATTCATAAATGTATAAACGATGTTGGTGAAGAAGAAAATTTATTAATAATTTATTAAATGCATAGTAAGTAACTAAAAGAAAATTTAAATGCATAGTAAGTAAGTAACATTTTGAAAAAATGCATTGTCCATGAATTTTTAATTTTCTCTCACCAATTTTTATAAATTTTTGAATAAAAAGTTTTTTCATATTTATTTCTTTATAAAATGGTAAATAATAAATATTGCATTGTAGTTGGTTCACATTTTTATACTCTTGTAAATACACAATCTAACAACTGAATAGTATGTAACATTTTTGTTTGTTTGGACTGTAAATAGTGTAAATAATTACAATACCTCATCTCAGAAATATAGACGGATTTTCATTATTAAAAATGTAACATTATGCAGCACTTATATGGTTGGCAATAACATAAGTGATAGATGGCTATGAAAAGGCACTATCGATTATTTACTGCTAATTTGTTTAAATAATCCACTGGCTATTGTTTCTGTCACATGGCAATAATTTTAAGTAAAATGGTGCACTAAAATAAGTAACTAAGTAATTTTTTTTGTTCTCTGAATATTGGTGCTTTATTAAAATTGTAAACATTGCTTTTTAAAACAAACATTGCCAAAGAATTATAAAGTAACAGCAGTGTCAAAAGAAAAACTGTCCTTTTGATGTACCATTATTTGTTAAAATTTGCCCCTACCTTTTTATTTTTTTTTAAATCTAATATCTAAATTAAAATTATCTTAACCCAAATGCAAGTTTGTTTTTTTTTCTTACATATATGTGAGTATATTACATTTAACTATATTACTACTACAGTTCTTTAATAGTTGGTACATTCACATACACATTTCATATACTAAATGTACTAATTATAGGACAGCTATATTGAACAATGGGAAAGATGTTGGATATAAGTTAGTTTGCTGCCAAAACAGAGCTATTGTTATCACTAATATGCAATTTCCTGTATACTGATGAGTGTGATCTTGTTGCTCATTCTCAGATTCCTTCTTGATGGCATACAGTGCATTGGGTCTAATGATTATATAGGAAAAGACTATTGTAATGTATCAACCTGCTCCAAATAAAGCCTACTTTGAGCTAAGCATTTATGCATATGGCCAGAAATTGTGGGTTGTGGAAAAGTTTGTGTATTTAATCAGTATTGTAAATGACACATACACTGATGATGAAATTTCCATCTGAATCAAAAAGGCCAGT